TTACGATAAATCACAGAGAAAAAAATGTGACGAGTGTGTATATGTCCATGAATGACTGAAAAATTGTGCTGAACACTGGAATTTGACACAACATTGTAAAATGATTATAAATCAATAAAAAATGTTTTTAAAAAAAGAATGTCATATAAATGAAATCATAAGCATGGAACTTTCTGTCATTGGCTTTTTTTCACTCAGCATAATTCTCTGGTGATATTACTCCAGGTTGTGTATATCAATAGTTGGCTCCTCCTTATTGCCGAGTAGTGTTCCATGGTCCGGGTGAACCAGTTTGTCTTGTCATAGACCTACTGAAGAACATCTGGGTTGTTTCCGGTTTTTGGTGATTACAAATGAAGCTACTATAAATATTCATGTACAGGTTTTTGCGTGAGTTTATGCCTTCATTTCTCTGGGATAAATGCCCAAGAGTATATTGGTTAGGCTGGAAAATATTTGCATGTTTAGCTTTTAAGACCACTGTTAAACTATTTATTAAACTATTTTCCAGTGTGGCTGTATCTTTATTTTATATGTCCACCAGCAGTGTATGAGTGATCTAGATTCTCCTCATTCTCACCAACATTTGGTGATATCAGTATTTTTTAAAGCCATTCTGGTACATGTTTAGTGATACCTCATTATGTTTTGTTTTGTTTAGTTTTGTTTGCATTTCCCTAGTGGCTAATGATGCTGAGCATCTTTTCATATAGTAATCTACCATCTGTATTTTTTTTTTGGTACAATGTCTCTTCATGTATTTTGCCATTTCCCTATTCTAATTGGATTCTTTGCTTTTTTACTGTTGAGTTTTGAGAAGTCTTTAAATGTTGTGGATATAGAATATCTTTTTGTCAAAGATACACCTATCTTTTGTCAAATATGTGGTTTCATATATTTTCTCCGATTCTGTAGCTTCTCTTATCATCCTCCTAACAGAGTCTTTTGCTGACAAAAGTTTTCAATTTTGATCAAATCAAACCATCAGTTTTTTTTCTGTAAAGGATCATGCTTTTGGTATCTAATCTAAGAATTCTTTGCCTAATCCTTGGGTCCCAGAGATTTTCTCCTATGTTTTTTGGTAAAAGCTTTATAGTTCTACATTTTACATTTGGTTTTGTGATCCATTTTGAATTAATTTTTGTATCAGGTGTGACATGATTGTCTATGTAGAGAATCCAAAAGAATTAACCAAAACATTCCTGGAACTAATAAGCAATTTTAGTAAGGTTTCAGGATACAAGGTTAAGAAACAAAAGTCAATCACTTTCCTATATACCAGCAATGAACAAGTGGAATTTGAAATTAAAAGCACAACACTATATTTACATTAGTATCCCCTAAAATGAAATACTTAGGTATAATGTAACAAGATATGAGCAAGAGTTACATGAGAAAAACTACAAACCTCTGATGAATGAAATCAAAGTAGAACTAAATAAGTGGTGAGGTATTTCATGTTCATGGAAAGGGAGACAAAATATTGTTAAGATATAAGTTCTTCCCAACTTGATCTATAGATTCAATGTCATCCCAATCAAAATCCCAGCAAGGTACTTTGTGGATATTGACAAAGTGATTCTAAAGCTTACATGGCGAGACAAGAAACCAAGATAGCCAATATAATATTGAAGAAGAACAAAGTTGGAGGACTGACCCTATCCAACTTCAAGATTTACTACAAAGTTACAGTAATCAAATTAGTGTGGTATTGAATACACAGATCAATGGAATAGAATAAAGAGCCCAGAAATAGACATCATAAATATAGTCAACTTATCTTTGACAAATGAGCAAAGGCAATAAAATAAGAGTTTTTTCAACAAATAACATGCAAAGATTGAATCTAGACACAGATCTTACACTCTTCCCAAAAATTAACTCCAAAGAGATCACAGACTTAAAGGTAAAACACAAAGCTACTATGCTCCTAGAAGATAACATAGGTTGGGTTTGGCAATGACTTTTTAGATGCAACACTAAAGGCACAGTCCATGAAAGAAAGAACTGATAAGCTGAACTTAATTGTAACTAGAAATTTCTGCTCTGCAAAAGACACTGTCAAGAGAATGAAAAGATAAGCCACAGACTGGAGAAAATATTTACGAAAGACATTATCTAAAAAAGGACTGTTATCCCAAAATATACAAAGAACTCTTTTTTTTACAGTTCACCTTAGTTTTAATGATTTTTTCTTCCAGTTTTTTGAGATATAACTGACATACAGCAATGTATAAATTTAAGGTGTACATCATAGTGATCTGACTTACATACATCATGAAATGATTATCACAATAAGTTTATGAACAGCCATCATCTCATATAAATACATTAAAGAAACAGAAAAAATATGTTTTCTTGAGATGAGGGCTCTTAGGATTTACTCTCTTAACAACTTTCATATATCACATACAGCATTGTTTATTATATTTGTCATGCACATTATATCCCTAGGACTTACATTTCTTATAAGTGGAAGTTTGTACATTTTGACTGCCTCATTCAGTTTCCTCTCCTCCCACCCCTAGCTCTGGTAACGACAAATCTGATCTTTTTCTATGAGTTTGTTTGTGTGTTTGTTTTGTTTCTGAAGTATAATTGACCTCCGAAACAATGTTAGTTCAGTTGTACAACAGTGATTCAATATTTCTATACATCTCAAAATGATCACTGATAAGTCTAGCTACATGTCATCATACAAAGTTCTTTCGTTTCTTTTCAAATATTTTTCTTTATCTTTTTGACTTATTTCACTTAGCAGAATATCCTCTGGGTCCATCCATGTTGTCACAGTTTTCCCAACACCATTTATTGAAAGGGCTATTTTTTTCTCCATTGTACATTCTTGCCCCCTTTGTCATAGACTAATTACTCATATTTCAAGCTGCTGATTTCTTAAGTTCAAACACATTTTTAACAACCTTGCATTTTTACTGCCCCCCAACACTGAATATTTTTGACAATCATATTTTACATATTTTTGTTTGTGTATCCCTTAACTACTTATCGTGGATACAGATGATTTGACTGCTTTTGTATTTTAATCTTCCCACTAGCTTTGAAGCGGTTGATCTTCTACCTTCACTATACGTTTGCCTTTGCCAATGAGATTATTCCTTTTGCAGTTTTCATATTTCTAATAATGGCCTTTTCTTTTTTGCTTAGCAAAGTCCCTTGAACATTTCTTGTAAAGCTGGTATCATGGTGCTGAATGCTTAGCTTTTGCTTATTTGTAAAATTCTTGATCTTTTCTTCAAATCTGAATGATAGTCTTGCCAGATAGAATATTCTTGGTTGTAGGTTTTTTCCTTTCACCACTTTAAATAAATTGTGCCACTCGCTTCTGGACTGCAGAAAAGTCAGTTGATCACTTTATGGGAGTTCCCTTGTTAGTAATGTGTTGCTTTTCCCTTGCTGCTTTTAATATTCTCTATCTTTAATTTTTGCCATTTTAATTACACTGTATCTTGGTGTGGATCTCTTTGGATGGATCTTGTTTGGGACACTTTATGCTTCCTGGACATGAATGTCTGTTTCCTTTCTCAGGTTAGGGAAGTTTTCAGCCATTATGTCTTCAGATATGTTCTCTGCCCCTTTCTCTTTTCTCTGAGACCCATATGATGGGAATGTTAGTGTGCATGATGCTGTTCTCTTAAACTGTCCTCATTTTTTCTCTTTTTTCCTTTTTCCTTTTCGGCTTCAGTGATTTCCACTTCCCAGTCCTTCAGTTCCTGATCTGTTCTTCTATATCTGTATTAAAATCTACTAGTGATTTTTGTCTAGTTTATTTTTTATTTCAGTTATTGTATTCTTCAGTGCTGTTTGGCTTTTCTTTATAGTTTCTCTTTATTAGAAATGTCTGACTTCTCACTGGGTTCACCCATTCTTTTGAGTTCTTTGAGTATCTTTATGATCATCACATTGAACTCTCCTTTGGGTAGATTGCTTATCTCCACTACACTTAGTTCTTTCTCTGGGGTTTTATCTTATTCCTTCATAGGGAACATATTCTTTTGTTACCTCATTTTGCCTAACTTGCTATTTTTATTTCTACTATTTCTCTCTCAGTCTTGTCTATTGGTTCTGGGTTAAATGCTGATTCCTCTGCTTTGTTCCTACTATTCTATACCCTACACTAGGTAGTGTTTGGATAATCACTACCTTGTATACTTAGAAGAGAAAAATCTGTCTTTTGCAATAATTTAAAACTCAGATAATATCTGACTTTTAAGTACCATCTTCCTCAAAAGTATTCCAAAGTATTTTTTCTGGCCTTTCATCCTTCTCTGCCTTTCCTTTAAAATACAAATAAAGAGATGTAATGTTTCAATAGCATGGAAGCCAGGAATCTTTGTCGAGGATATGTCAGACATCAGAAGGAAATTTTATTTTCTAAAATATGGATACATAATGCTATAGTGCAGGGTCAGACTCTGGGTGAAAAATAGTGGGAGATTTCCATCTGTCTACCTACAGTGTCTTCCCCTACCTTAAAGACAAGTCCACATCAACTACAGAGAAGCAAGCCACCTTCACACTGGGCAGGAGGTGCTTTCTAGGGAAGGCAGCCCCATTTGCAAACTTCTCACTCCATAGTTCTCCCCACACCCATGTTTTGAAGTTTCACGTCTATTTAATTTGATAGGAACTCCAAAAGAAGAGCTGAGAGGGCCCAGAAGTTTAAAGCAGGTGTCATTTTATACCTAGATATGTAAAAGAGGTCAAGTGGGATGAGCCATGGTGAGAGAATAACTCATTATTGCCTCATAATACCCAAGTGTAAACCACATTTGTTATGTAAGACACTCAGGCAGCCAGATCAAGGTATGTCTTTGACCAGCAGATCCACATTAGTTAAGAGACTTTAAATATCCAGAAAGTTGGATAAAAATAATACATATCAATCAGCACTCCAATGTAATGTCTAAGACAATGGATCCAAGAACAACCAGATAGACAGCCAGGGGAATATTGGACTAGATAGATTTTTCCTAATTAATAAATATATAGAAAAAAAAACACAATATGAGGCCTATGAAAATTTTCTGAAGTGCCAAATTCAAATATCACTTTTATGATATAAATGAACAGCACAGTTTTGAAGAACATTTACTACAGGAAATTTTATAAAGGTTTTCCCTGTATTCCTTCAAATCCAGAAAAATTAGAGTCTGAATGCGGAGGTAAAGGATGAGACAACAGACTGGGATAAATGAGGAGTTGGCTGGGAACCAGGTGAACTGAGTTATATAAGGGAAGATCAGAAAGAAACAGGAAAATGCATCTGCAGAATTGAAAACATTGTCATAAGTGATAAATTCCAGATATATAAAAATGTTCTGGCAGTAAGGAAGATATGCTGGGGTAACAATACTATAATACAAAAAAAAAGGAAAAATTAAATTATGAAAGAGAAGATCACAGGAAGAGAATGCAGAGAACAGGTGGAAGGAGAACAAATGAAAGAGAAGTGAAACCTCAGACCTAACAAAAGAAAACTTCGGGTCTGGAGAAAGACTGATACAGAGAGATCAAGAAGGCTCACCTTATAGGTGGCAGAACTAATGAAAAGACATCACTATGAAAAGAGACTACTATTCAAGTATATTCCCATAATGTTAGGGAATTCCAACCAAAAGGAAAGATCCTAGAAGCATCAGGAAAAATAAAACAGATTTCCTATCCTAGAATGAGAATTGAGCTTGCTTTAGACATCTTATAATACACAAAATAAATACCTCATAATAAGCGAGAAGAAAATAGAGCAGTATCTATAGTTCAGAGGAAAAAAAGAAAGATTGAGACTCAAGAATTTCATACAAAAACAAATTTGTGTGTGAAGACAGCAGAAATACATCTCAGTTATGAAAGGCCTTAGAAATATGCAACTCATCTGTTTTCTGTAAACAAACTGTAAAAACATTTCACCTAAATGAGAGACAAATATAAACAAATATAAAATTTAATAATGGCATTGAAGGATTAGTAGTAAACATTGAAGACTATGAAATGTAGAATTTAATTAATAAAAAGGTTTTTAAATGATTTCAAAACAATAAGCAAAGATCACTTTAAGAAAAGGCACAAATTACAAAAACATTTAATAATCACCAGGACATTGTATGTACAGGGGTATTAGTTTCTTTCTATTACACATTGTATTTTATTTATAAATTAATCATTAAGGAAACAAGAATTTAATTAATATGGTAATCATTAATAGAATGATAAAAAAGAATACTATCAAAATCACTAGAATAAGTAGGTAAATTTTAGTTTTCATGAGACAAAACCAAGAATCAATAGAAATATCAGAGAAACAAAAACAAAATCAAAATAACATGCTAACATGTACAAAGATGTCAACTATGACACTAACAGTTAAATTTTTCAATTAAAATTCATAAATATTCTCAGGTTGAGTTAAAATATTAGTATTTGATATGTTGAGTTGGTAAAATGTTAGTAAGCTTATATGGTATTTGAACAGCATAATTTTTAAAGTTTAATTGTTACATATATATACATATATATTTTTAACTTTATACTCCATGAAGAGAGAAATATTTTTCAAGAATCCATGGATCTTTGTATGAGTTAATCATACATATGACCACAAAGGGAACACTGATAGTTTTAAAAAGTGAAAATTAAACAGACTTCATTCTTTTACTATAAAGCAATAAAATTTAAAATTAATAACAGAAAATCAAACAAACCCTCAAACACTTGGATATATGAAATCTCATAAATAATTATTAGATTAAGATATCAAAAGTACAATTATAAAATAGTTTAAATATAGATATAAATATGCTGTTCTTTGAATTTTTCTATAAGCTTAAAGGCTTTCATGATAAAGCTTGGAAAACTACAATGGGAGAACTACATAAATTTGAGTACTGTCTCCTGCTCTCTCTGCTCTGCACTGGGTGAAGGAAAACCCTTCATAGACAACTTTAGCATAACTTTGCCATGATGAGAACAACTTCCATGGTGAATACTGCCCAGAGAAATTGTGTGCTTTGAGATAACTTAGAAGATCACTCCTGGCAGCACCTAGAGATTTGTTTTTTTAACTAATTTATGCTCACAAGGTATGGCCTTCAAGAGCATGTGGCATTCAAACCACTTATACACTTTAATACAGTCACCACAATAGAGTTATTCATGTGGTTATTTGAAGTCTGGTGGCCTAATCCTCTCATATGATAGTGTACTTTCGTGAGTTAAAAGTCAACATTAAAAAGGCTCATAGAATTAATTTAGGTTCCCTATGAATCATCACTCAGCCTGTTATTGCAAACTATACTGTCATGGAAAGAGGGGGGTTCGGTGGGAAGCAAAATGCCATCGCTCTCCTTTTAGACAGAATTAAAATCTTAAATCTTTAGGACTGTTCTTGGAAGAACATGTACCCTTCGGTGGGAATTTAGGATTTAAATGCTATATTCAAAAGATCAGGACAACTTGACTTTTTTTTATTTTTAGATGTGAGAATAAATGGTAAAACTGTATCAGAATATTAAGAGGTGAGCACCCTTTCAATTCAAAATGGCACATTGTTACCAGTAGTGATTCAGGTAAATAAATATTTTTCTGTTGGACTTCCAGTCTCATATCTGTTCCCTGAGCTGGTCAGTGTTAAAATTCAGTTCCAAATCTTTGATAATTTCTGCCTCCTTCCCAAATTGCTGTAACAGCCACCACTTCATTTCCTTTTTTAACCTTATTTTTCTTTTCCTTCCTGTTTTAACCAAGTAACCTCATTATGCCATTAGCAAATAAACAGCTTTTAAGTGGTTGAATAAGAGAGAGTTCAAGAATATCTTTTGAGAATCTAATAATGTGATCTTCCTAAATCTTGCAACCAAAACTTATTTTTCAAAGAGTGTATGATTTGAAAAATTGAGTTTGCAAGACTCATTCAGCATTTACTAGCTTTTGGTTTCACTAATAACATCCAGATAATGAAAGTTAATCATGGATATGTTAAATTTCTCACTTTAAAGTTTTTTTTGCTTTGTGTCATTTATCTAGTTTCTAGATAAATGTCTAAATTCAATGGTTGAGAGCACAGACCTAATGAACCATAACCTTAGAAGTGTTTCCCCTCTGGTGAAGTTCAATAAACTGTTGAAGTAGTACTGCTTCTAGGAATTAACATTTTTTACCCTGATAATTAAAGTAGCTGGGAATTGAATAGTTAACTATAGTTGTGCTACCAGGTTCTTCTGCCAAGATGAGAAAAGAAAGAATGAAACGTCTTTGTTCAATGCTCCTTGTCAACCTTCACAGATTGGAAAAGAAGAAAAGGCTACTTAGGGAAAGCTGACACAATGTGTTTCTGTCCACGTATAATTTATCTTTATGCTGCGAGATTTTAAGAGACAAAATACTCCAAATAAAATAATGTCCAATCAAAATATTTGCCATGTTTTCCACATGGCAATATTGAATATATATAGTCAGTATATACTTTTACAATATAGCCTCTAAAAAAAAAACACTAAGTTTTATGGACTCATAGTAGTGTATCTTAGGATGAATGCTTTACTTTCAGCTTCAGGAAAATATTAAAAAGAAAAATTTTTAATTCAGCAATAAGATTTTGATTATTGAACATACTTTCATAAATGTTGTTTCAATCCTGTTTAGATCTAACAAAATTTTACAAAGGACTTGTACTTTACAAAACTTGCTTATATATATTTGAGGTGAAAGTGGCAGACGTTTGTAGACATGAAAAAAATAAAAGGCATTCTGAGTCTGAAAGACTATTTCACATTATAATATTTGATTAAGGCTAGAATGTCTGTTATACTTTGATAAAAGGAAACGTTTCCTTAAAATCACTCAGAACTCAGAACTACCAACCTTACACATTAAAACTTCATTATGTCAATTTCTCTGTTTCATTGCCTCAGTCACTACAATTGGGATTGAATACCTGTTAAAACAAACAATTCATTCATTTGCATTAAATACCTCTTTCTCCTGTTTCTTGAGTGAACCAAGAAGTACCCATGCCATAGTGTTTCTACATCAGTGACTAGGAGCCACTTAGCTTTTGCTAATTGTATTTTATTCCTGGGTGCCTCACACTGATCACCTAATTTTATTTGTAAACTAAGTCTTTAACTTATATTCTGAAGGAAGTGATTAAAAAGAGCCCACAGAGTGCCCCTCAAAATAGATGATATGAACTTATACTAAGACATATTATTGTAAAATTTTGTACATTGGAGATAGTGTTTTAAAAAGAAAAAAATATTTCACAAACAAGAATCAAAAATCAAAATTGCTGCATACTTCTCACTGGAATACAGGAATTTCAAAGTCAGTGGAGACACACCTTCAAAATGCTGCAGGAAAATGACTTCTAAACTAACATTCCATATCAAGCCAAATTGTAATCAAGTTTCAGGGTAGAATAGATAAATTTCAAGCAGGTAAGTTCTAAAAAAAATGTATTTTCCTTGTTCCCTTATCTCAGTAGGCCACCGGAGACTGAGTTCTACCAAAATAGGGGAACAGACCAAGAAACAAGACCTGGCAAACCAAAAACAGTACTTCCAACCCAATAGGGAGATGAAGGTAATAAGCATAATGCTTGTGAAGGAAGATTTCAAAATGAAAAGTGCAGCTATAGAGGATAACCCATTCATATTGCGGCATGATAGAAGGCTCTTCAGAAACTCCATTAGGAAGATGAAATATCAATTTCTGAATATCTGATGCATTTAAACATTTTGAGAGGAGATGTAGACAATTTGCAAGAAGTTTGGATGGAATCACAGGCAAATACATAAAAATTTAAGTAAATAAGGAAAGAAAAGTATTAGTTCTAGACAAATAGAAGTTAAGCAGTAAAGGGAGAGAAATCATGATTTCCTTCCTGGCCCTGCTGGGAATAGTGTATAAAGTGTATTAGACTAGCCACTTCAGCTCTCTTTAAGTTACTGTTTCCATGGTGTTTCTATTTTCTGCTCTTTTAACTGTCAACCTATGTGTATCTTTGTGAAGTGTCTCTTTACACAACACATGGTTAGAGTAATTTTTTTTAATCCATTCTGCCAATCCTTGCCTTTTGATTAAAGTATTTAATCTATTTACATTTAATGTAACTACTGAGGAGGTAGGATTTATGCCTACCACTTATGTATATTTTTTTTAGATCTTTTTGTTCCTCTATTCCTCCACTACTTCCTTTTATTTATAAGCTAAATAGAGATTTTTTAATGTACCCCTTAAATTCACTTTTTTTTTAAGTTATTCTATCAGTGCTTGCCCTCGGTATTACAATTAGCATCTTAATTTAAACAATCTAGTTGTATTAGGGCTCTGGCAGTTTACCACTCTGCATTATCCTTCACTTTCTGATCACACAGAGCCTCATGATCAGACAGAAGTGGGAGATAAGGGTGTCCTTAGGTTTTTTTCCTAGGCATGTAAATAGTCTGCACATGAGTCCAAGGAATATTTTAAAGTTTTTCAAATCCTGCTATGAACATCTCATTTCCCAGATATTCTTTTTAAGTCTTTGGGTCATTATCTTGTTTGCCCCAACTGGTATTGTGCTTCAGGCAGCTGCAGTGTTGAACAATTTCCTCTGATTATTTTTGATAAACACTCTAAGGATAAGGTTTTTCTCATTGAATAAGTTCTCAGTCCAGTCAAATAATGACAAATCCTGTGAATACGGATTTTCTAGGAACTTCCAGGTATATCAAGTAGTAGCAATTCTCTGGGGAAGAAATATTTTAAGGAACTTCAAAGCTGGTCAGTCCCCTTCATGGAGGGGTTGCTAGGCTGCTGGTTTTCAAGGCTATCATGGAGCTTGGGAGAGCATGATGCGACACGGGCAAGTTAAAATGCTATGAAGTTTATGTTCTTACTAAGTTTCAGCAGTTTTTCTTGAATAAACATTCCTTGGATTCCTTTAAGTTAATTTACAGAGTTCTGAACAAGTTGATTTGACAATTTTTGCCTTTGTTCTCATTGCTTTTATGGAGGAGTGGATTTTTCAGAAGCACTTACTCTGCCAATCTGGAAATCACACTCCCTAATAGCATTTAAATGATAAAGTAAACAGTGGTTATTGCTTTAACCAAAGTACACTGCATTGGCAGGATGAGTGGGGGGGTGGTTCATGTTTGAAGGGTGCTTTCACGTGATGCCAGCAGGAGTAGAAAGAATCCAAGTCCTCATCTTCTTCAGTGGAAGTTAATAGAAAATGCCCCAAACTAAGAAATCAGGAGTTGGCATTTCAATGATATTATTTAGTGACAAAGGAAGTAAATGTGAAAATATCAGAGTAAAGAGGTAAAGGTAGTTACATTTTGAGAGAGGCAGAGATGCAGATATGAGATAGATCAAATTTATGAGCTCTGTGGATTCACCAGCAATCTGCATGATGCTACTGATACTACTGATTCTTCAGTTAGATCGCCTGACATCAACTGCATTCTCATAGGCCACAGAGAGAAGGTTTTGAAGATCATAGGAGACAGGCTTGTTGAGCTCTATGGCAAGGACCATGTCCTTGTGGCATTCTGCCTATTCCCCTGCTGAGGACTGATACAATGTCTAGTCCTGGTTCCTTGTGAGAAGGAACTTTTTTACTTCCTTACCCTGGGCTCACCTCTGTTGCCAATGCAGTACAAAAGGCCACTGGATCTAATCAGCATTCATGCACCCCCAGAAGCTTACTGTTTGGCAGGGTCATAAGAATGCAGCTTGCTAGTGGGCAGGTGGAGAGTGTCATTACCGTAGACTACTCACTAACTGACTGCATGTGCTGTGGCTTAAACCTTGGGTGTCACCACCACATTCCTAGTTTCTGGCTTCCCCAGAAGCTGCTTGGACAATCTAGATGGCACAATCTGGAAGTGCTGAGGAGTGATATTCAATGGAGTAAACTCTGACCAAGGGGAGATAAAAACTGTTTGATAATTTTTTTCCTATGACCTCTCTAAAGACATCCTACAAGACCAAGCAATCTGCTGCACTTACCACGAAACTGAGACCAGCTGGGTAATGAACACCCTGTTATTTGTTCCTCCTCTTTTCCAACTTTACTTTTCTTTTTTAAAATAGGGACACTTTTTAATAATAACCCATCAGGAAGCTATAACAGTTATAAACACATATGTACATAATAACAGTACCCCCAAAATAGTGAAGCAAAAATAGAACTGAGAAAGAAATGTACAATCCAACAATAATAGTTGGAGACTTCAATACCCCACTTTCAGTAATGGATAGAACAATGAGGCAGAAGATCAACAAGAAAATAGAAGACAAATAATACTGCACATAAATGTGACTGAACATATATCTATAAAACTGTACTCTACAACAGTAGAAAACACTTTCTTCTCCAGTGCACGTGAAACAATCTTAAGGATAGAGCTTATGTTAGGCCATAAAACGAGCATAACATATTTGTTAATAATACAACAAATTCCATGTAGAGGATTTTACCACTTTAACAAGTGAGCTTTACCCCAGGAATGCAAGGCTCTTTTAACATTCAAAAATAAATTAATGTAAGACACCATATTAATAGAATAAAGGACAAAAACTACATGGTCATCTCATTAAGTATAGAAAAAGCATTAGATGGGGGAAGGGGACTGGAGGAGGTGTTGGTCAAAGCACACATAATTTCACTTAAGCAAGACAAATAAGTCCTCAAGATGTATTGTACAGCATTGTGCACAAAGTTAACAATATAGTATTTTATGCTTAAAATTTTGTTACTAGAGTAGATCTTATGTTAAATGTTATATTTTTTTTTAAAAAGAAGTAGGAAGGAAACTTAGAGGTGATGATTAAGTTTTTGGCCTTGTATATGGTGTAGGTTTCATGAGTGTATTTTTACCTTCAAAATCATCAAGATGTATAAAGTATGTACAGCTTTTTTTGTATGTCAATCATACCTCAGTAAATAAATTTTAAAAAAGAACTATCCACATCCTCCTCAAAAAAAGAAAGAAAATGCATGTGACAGTATTCAACATGATAAAAATACTCAACAAACTGTGAATATCCTCAGTCTGGTAAAGAGTCTATATTGAAAACCTGCAGCTAACATCATAATCATGAAATTCAGCATGTGACCTTATTTAGAAGTAGGGCCTTTGCAGTTGTAGTTGGTTAAGATGAGGTCATATTGGATCAGGGCTGGCCCTAAATCCAGTATCCTTAAAAGAAGTTCATATGAAGATACACATGGAAGAAGGTTATATGATTTCAGAGCCAGAGGTTGAAAAACAGCAGCTAGAAGATAAGAAACGCCAAGGACTGTTTAGAGTGCCAGAAGTTTGGAAGAAGCAAGTCATGAATCTCCTCTGGAGCCTTCAAAGAGACCATGGCCCTCCCAACATCTTAATTTCAGACTTCTATCCTCCAGAACTGTGAGAATAAATTTCTGTTGTTTTAAGCTACACAGTCTGTGGTAATTTGTTAGAGCAGACCTGGGGAACTAATACAGATCTTGGTACCAGGAGGTGAGGTGCTGCCACAACAAATATCTAAAATTGTGGAAGTGGCTTTGGAATTAGATCATGGGTAGAGGCTAGAACAATCTTGGCCAACTTTACTTTCATTTTCCTCTTACTGCTAGCTTTCTGGGATTGTACCACAATATATGTGTGTGTGTCTATGTATATGGATATATATACACACATACATACACACACACACACACACACACACACATGCAAACTATAAGTTTTTCCCTTGAACCCAGTTTTTTAGGGGTTTCCTAACATACCTGTAAAACTGTTTTTCTTTTCAGACTGGTTGCATGCATAACATTGATAAAAATAGAAAAATAGAATCTTAATTTTTTTAAAGGGTAGAAAGGAGAAAAAAAGATACTAGAGAATCTGCTACAACTAAATGAGAAAATAAGCATGTGAAAGAAGATATTTGATCCAAAAATCATGGAATTCATTGGAAGGGTGACAAAGAGAAGTCTTGGACTGACAGTTGAGGCATGCATCTAGAGGAGAGCAAGGAAATGCAGGGCTGCAGGAGGGAGGTGCCAGGACAGAATGAAACTGGTTGGTTTTCTGATGTGTTATTCTAGAAAATAATATCATGAGAGTTAATCATGTAACTTTTGGAATGTTTGGGAAAGAATTAGCAATATGTACATAGAGACTCAAGCAAATAAAAAATGAAACAATTATAAATTTCAGAAAAAGCAAATAATGCATCAAAAGAAAAAGTAATCAGAACACAATTTGACTCAAGAGTGAACAGGATTATGTAATTACTGTAATGTGAACAGTGAATATGGATTAGCCAAAAGTTGTGACACAAATATAGTGGGAGGAAGAAACATGGTGGAAGAGAGTTACTTCCTCACCTGCCATCACAGGAAGTCAATAGAGAGTGTCTAAAATGGATAAATAAAAAATTTCCACAAAAGCATACTATTCAGAAATAGAGTAAAGCCTTGAGAAACAATTAAATGAACTGAAAATTGTCACTGGGACAAAGTACTTGAAGGTGATGGCAAGTACCGTTTTTCTTTCTTATGTTTTTTTTTTTTCAGTCATATAACTTCTTTATGCCATTAAACTTTTTTAAATAATTGACTTTATTCTTTTCTCTACTATTAACATCATACTTTAGTACATTGCTTAAAATTAATGAAAAAATATTGGTACATTATTATTTGCCAAAGTCCATACTTTATCCAGGTTTTTTTAGTTTTTACCCCCAGTGTCTTTTTTCTGTCCCAGGATCCCATCCAGGTTACCACATACTTAGTGGTCATGTCTCCTCAGGCTCTCATGAGTGGTGCTCAGAATTTTTTTTTCTTAATAACCTTGACAGTTGTGAGGAATACTGGCAGGTATTTTGTAGGATGTCTCTATCAGAATTTGCCTGATGTTTTTCTCATGATTGTTTTGGGGTTATAGGCTTTGGGGAAGAAGACCTCAGAGGTGAAGCGCCACTTTCATCATACCTTATCAAAGGTATCAGTGTGACTTATCACTGTTGATGTTGGACCTGATCATCTGGCTGCATAGAGTTTGTCATGAAAAGTTAACCTCCCCCTCTCCTTCCATACTGTACTCTCCAATGACTTTTTAAACAATGTACATTTATTACTTGGATTAAATTTAAAATTAATTACAATATATAGATCTGTTCCAGATGTTTCATTTCTGAACTATTTGTTACTTTCCTAGAACTGTGAGCAGCAGCATGCAAAAGTGCAAGACAAGTAGCCACAAAGAGCCAACGTGAGCCTGGAGGGGCCTTTACACAAGAAGAGGAGCCTGTGGTATGTCAGTATGAGCTGGAGCAGCCATCGTGAGGTTCAGGGTTAGCTCTGGAGTGGAGTTGCATGGATGGATTAGAAACTGATGGGCAGTGTCTCAGGGCCAGATAGTGGGAACTGAGATAGACTAAGTTGGCACAAAGACTGTGGTGGATCAGACAGGTTCCCAGGCAAATGGTTTGAGTATCAGAAAGTCAGGGATCCAGCTAAGATTAACAATGCATCAGAAACTTAGGCAAGGAATCTGAATAACAGGAACGGAGCACCCTTAAGAAAAACAAGCAAGGGGGTGTGGGTATAGCTCAGTGGTAGAGTGCAAACAGCATGCACGAGGTCTTGGGTTCAATCCCCAGCACCTCCACTAAAATAAGAAGAAGAAGAAATAAGAAATAAATGAATAATTTTTTTAAAAAAAGAAAAACAAGCAAAACAAAATTTGGCATTCAAAAGGCATTTTGATTCAAGTCAGGGACAATTTCTGAGCATAGGAACCAGTGTCTTTTATTATCTTCCTTGAGGATTCAAGCTGGAGTCCTTGAGGCTAGGTTGGATCTCTTGACTGAAGTGGGGAAGGAGGAAACAGCATTTCTGGTGTAATATAAATCATATTGTGGTGATGTATATCATAAAGGTTCAATCAAATGGCACAGTTAACATTTTATGTGTTTGATAAATTGAAGCTAGCATTCCTTCCATCTCCAGAAGTATATAAGTCTCTATTTTGAGCCAGAAGGAATAAAAAAACCCATTTTCTTCTGGGATATTTTTCTAGAACTGGTGGCCTCTACAACAATAATCAAAATTGCTTTCCCACAAAGTTTTATAAGGGACAGTGGAGAGTGGGAAACCTTTGTCTAAATCGCTCCTTCCGGACATGAAAGTTATCTTTATGCAGAAATACAGGAATAATCATCATTGTGCTCTCCCTCCCCTCATCCCCAGTTCATTTATCCATGGAAGTGACTGGTCAGAAACAGGTTCTCAGATCAGTTGTCCATCTTCACAGGGAAAAAAGCTGGTTGTTAATTTAATTAAATAATTAAGTACTTAAGGCTTAATTGCACCTCTAAAATGTCCTAGAACTCTGCAAGGGGCCAGGGCTACAGAGAAAGTAGACACAGAGACTGCCCTCAAGAAGCTCACATTCTAGTGAAGAATCAAGGCAAGAACACAGCCCTGTTCCCCAGTGTGATTAGTGCTCTGATTAGGATAAACACGTGATGTTACAGAATTCTTCTGGGGAGTATCTAACCCAGCCGGGAGGGTAAGAAAACTTGCTGGAATAAAGGCTTTATTCAAAGGTGGTTGTAATCAGGGAAGGAGACTGTTGTGAGGGGGAGAATGCTCAGACTGTAAGATCTGCAAACATCTGAAAGGTCATGCAAAAAATGAATTTTCTTTTTATAAGGAGGGAGAAAATGGCTAGAAGGAATCTGGCTTGGATAGGGGAATGAGATGAGCAGGTGGCGTGATGGGACAGTTGACTTTTCTTGCAGTCAGTTGATCACCTGGAAAGGCTGCTAAGGAGGGACTTTTCTGCCCCAAAACCCAGAGGTGCAGCAAAGATCAGGTGCAGCAAAGTTCAGGTGCCTGGGGGAGGGAAAGAAGCCTGACTAAAGTTTGGTCAAGTCAGGCATTTTGTTCAGACTGGTCAGGGGGACAAACAGTCCAACTAATCGTTTCTGAGATAAAGAATGGGAAATTGGAGGGTCTCTGGCCTCATCATAGAGGAGGGCATCAAGGAGGGCATCAGTGAGTCTTCTCTAAGAAGAAAAAGTTTGGTTCTCTGCAGTAAGCTTTTTTTTCTGAAACATAAAAGAGTTGGGGAAAGTGGTGGGAGAGATTTATTAATTGTAGCTTTTTCCAGGAGCACAGGTCTCAGCTCAAGTTCAACATTATCAATATCTAAACTCATGCTGTAGAGAAAATCAAGAGAACATTAGAGACAGGGAAACAGCCATGAGGCAGAATAAACATGGTATCTTGCAGGAACATGAGGCATTGCTACACTTGATCTCAGAAGCAGGAGATTGTTAGAAGGGTCCCACAGCAGTTCAGAAAAAAAAATGTTCACTTGAATTAAGGAATAGTAGTCAAATGCCCACATAGATGTTGGCCTGTGAGATGGAATAAACATGTAAAAAGTGAGTTATGAAACTACTGAAGAGTTTGACTATGAAAGACAATGCACCTCAGCTGAGAAAGCAGTCCAAGTAGTAATCAGATCACTGTCTCAGTTTGATCTGAGGTAACATATCAGATTTTTATATCTAGAAGGCCAAGTGGCAGAACTACATAAAACAGACCTATTTTCTGGGCAATGATTTTTTTGGATTTGATCCCAAAAGCACAGGCAAAAAAAGCAAAAATAGACAAATGATGAAAAGCCTCTGCACAGCAAAGGAAATAATCAGCAGAGTGAAAAGGCAACCAATGGAATGGGAGAAAATATTTGCAAATCATGCATCTAATAAGGTATTAATATCCAAAATATGTGGAACTCATAAAACTCAATACTTTAAAAAAATTGAACAATCTGATTGAAAAATGAGCAAAGGACCTGAACAGACACCTCTCAAAAGAAGGCATACAAATGGACAAACAGATACATGAAAAATTGTTCAGCATCACTAACCATCAGAGAAATACAAATCAAAACCACAGTGAGATATAACCTCACACCCACTAGAATAACTACTATCAAAAAGACAAAAGAACAAATGGCAACAATGTAAAGAAAAGAGAACCCTTGTACACGGTTGATGGGAATGTAACTTAGTACAGACATTATGGAAAACAATATAGAGGTTACTCATAAAATTAAAAATAGAACTACCATATGATCCAGCAATCCTACTTCTGAGTATATAGCCAAAGGAAATGAAATAAGAATCTAGAAGAAATATTTATACTCTCATGTCCATTGTAGCATCATTCGCAATAATCATGATTTTGAAACTACCTAAATGTCTGTCCACAGACGAATGAACGAAGAAAATGTGGTATAAACATACAGTGAAATACTATTCAGCCTTAAAAAAGGAAAATCCTGTCATTTGTGACAGGATAGATGAACCTAGACAACATTATGCTAGGTGAAATAAGCCATACACAGAAAGACAAATACTGTATTGTCCTCACTTATATGTGGAATTTAAAAAGTTGAACTCATAGAAGCAAAAAGTAGAATGATGACTGCCAGGGACTGAAGGGTGGAAGAAATGGGGAGATGTCGGTCAAATGGTACAAAGTTTCAGTGACACATAATGAAAAAGTTCTGGACACCTAATGAACAGCATGGCAACTATAGTTAATACTATATTATATACTTGAATAATATTACATTGTATACATACTGTATATTGAAATTTGCTGAGTAGATCTTAAATGTTCTTACGATAAAAAAGATAACTATGTGACATGATGAATATGTTAATTAGCTTGATTGTAGTGATCACTTCACAATGTATATGTATATCAAAACATGTTGTGCATTGTAAATATATATAATTTATTTGTCAATCACATCAATAAAGCTGGAAAATAAATTTTTTGAAAAGACCTATTTTAAGCCAATTAAATGACTGTGAACCCACTATGATGTGTCATATTTCACCACTATGTTTATATTCTCAATAAAAACAGCTTTAAATTAAGCAGTGCATTCATATGACTAGTCTCATTTAAAGGCTTAACTAAGTTAGTATATCCAGTACTAAACCAGAGCCCTAAGTATAGCATGCTAGAAATCAAATGTCTCCCCAAACAAATTTCTCCCTTAAAGACAATTTTATAATCTTCTCAAAGGTAAATTCAAATTCCCATCCCCAGACTTGGCTTCCAGAGAAACTTCCCTAAATATTGCACCCAAGAAATGAACTTCCAACTTCCTAAAAATATCACAAAATCAAGGCCATATTTCTTCCAAACAACAAATAAAATAGACTATTTGCCAGTATCTGCTTAACACACTCAATGTGAACAAATATTAATGTTAAGCCAGTAGAATTTAGGGGGTATGGGGACCTTTTTTTGTTTTGTTTTGTTTTTGTTTGTTTTTACTATCTGTATTGATGAAATTAACTGGGAAACTATAACCTCTCTTACTATTGGATAGATTCTGCAAATGCTATAGTCTCTAATATGAATCTTTCTTAATAGATCTTCTTTCTTCCATTCATTCATATAGCAATTACTGAGGGACTGTGATGTGCCAGGAAAGGTCCTGGATTCCAAAAGTACAAAACTGAATAAGACAAGGCTCTACACTCAAGGATTTTGTGGTAATGAAAAAAACAAACATCCACATAGTGACAGTTGTTGTATATGTATCATGTACTAATTTACAAACTATGATGTGAGCTCTTTTATTTTCTAAAAATCTCACTCTGCCCCTGGCTTGTTATTGTATGGCTGGGAAGTTAAGAAAGTTCTTCACATTTTTAAAGGGTTGTAAAACACCAAAGACAAAGAAGATAAGACAGACACCTTATGTGCCTGCAAATGCTAAAATAAGGACTATCTAGATCTTACAGAAAAAAGGTTGCTAACTTCTGCTCTAGACCAGTGATTCTTAAATGAGGGTGCTCCTTGAGATCTCTTGTGAACTTTGTTACTTCAAAT